TTCATTAAAACAGTTAGGGGCCTGCGTGCCCGTGTTTGCCACGTGTGGCTAAGTATCAAACATTTTATTATTTCCGCATTTGTTTGATTATGATATTGATGTTGATTGTATGTGTTTACTAATCGGTTTGGCAATAGAATCAATCGGACGCCTTGTACAACTCAATAGGGATGAACTGTTGTTGTTCTTATCAGGTTGTACGGCGGTTGTCTACGTGGCTCGGACGCGGTCCGGGGCGTGACAATTAAGTGGTATCAGAGCCATCGATTTCTAAACTATATAATTAACCTCTCAATATGGTTACCCTCAAAAAGTTTTGAATAAAACCATGAGCAACAGTTTTTGTACTTAAGGAACCGTTGGAAACCAAGTTATTGACCTCTTATTGTTAAGACGGTACCCTTAACAGTTTGTTGGCCATAATGTTGGACCAAGTGGTGCCTTTTATACTAATCCGTCAATTGACATTGAAACGAGTCTAATGACTCATTCCTTATTTCTTTCAGAAATGGAGGGTGGACGCAGGATAACTAGGAGGAACCCGACAGGGCATGTGCAGGGGGCCACCGGGCATGCCACTCGGGCGGAATCACGGACCTCTAGGGGTAGAGGCCGGGGCCAAAGCCGAGGAGGAGGCCGAGGCAGGGGTCGTGGGCGTTCTACCATGCCGACGATAAGTAGCACACGCGTCGGTTCCGTGCACCCGTCATGGGCCACCGAACCGGACGACTTCACCTATGCTCCAAGCACGGAGCAAGAGGAGACCCCGTACAACGGGGAGGACTTTGAGGAAGAAGATGAGGACGATGATCCTCATTATGACCGTATGAGTGAGGTACTAGAATGGTACCTCGAGAATAAGGCAAAGAGAGAACAGCGGCGCCAAGCTAGACAGGCTAGGCAGACCACGGGGCAGGGAAGCCGAGGTGCTTCTAGTGCTCCATCGGGGGCATTTGGAGGAGACACGATGGTGCGTATCTCCAAGTACCTCAAGGAGGCCAGGGCCTAGGGGTGCAAATCATTTGATGGCAAGGGCGACATATCTGAGGCCGCCGACTGGATTAAGAAGCTGAATGATGCTTCTAGGGACATGCAAATTTCACTCGACGTGAAGTTGAGGGTTGCCACCAGGTTACTAGAAGGGGTAGCCGCTGTATGGTGGGAAGGCGTGGAGGGAAAGTTCCACGGTGAAGCCACTTGGGAGAAATTCGAAGTGGAGTTCTATAATCAGTACTACTCAACTTTTGAAGTCAATCTCAAAAGAAGAGAGTACACGAACCTGAAACAGGAGGATGGTTGCTCGGTGAGGCAATTGGAACAAAGGTTCCGTGACTTGGCACGATTCATCCCAGAATACTCATTGGATGAAAATCGTATGGCCAATCACTTTTGGGATGCTCTACAGTTGGACATCCGTGACCGGGCTACTTACCATCACAGTATGACATTTAGCCAAATCAATGATCAGAGGCTCCTTGGGGAAGCCCAATGGAACGAGAGGAAGTTGAGAGACGCCGAGGAGGCGAAGAAAAGAAGATGGGGAAACGCTGGACCCCAAGACCACTCCCGGAAGCATCATGCTGGGGGTGGCAGTTCATTCAGGGCGCCGGCACCACCGGCGAAAAGGAACAAAGGTTCAGGAGGGCAAGGGGCCAAACCAGGGAGTACATGGTCACCGAGGTGTGCAAACTGCGGCAAGAATCATGCGGGGAAGTGCAATGAACCACCCCGGTGTTACAAATGCGGTAGCACGAGCCACCTCAAATCCTCTTGTCCAATGCTGAACGGGGGAGGACCATCGGGGGCCATGGGAGGACCTACGACTAATAGGGGACGTGCGGGGCCGTCTCAGGCCGGCACGGGAAGGAGCGGACCCACGGCTAGCAACGCCGCGTCCGTTAACCAAGGGAGGACCCAAGCACGGGTGTATGCAATGACCGAGGCTGATGCTCGGGCCAACCCGGACTCCATTGCAGGTAATCTCTTGATTTCACACGTATTTGATCATGTAATGGGTTGAAAAATCTTCAAAAATATGAAGGACCCGATCGGGTACTCCTATAGACCCGACCGGGTATAAACTATGCTTCGAGTTTGAAGTGTGCACCCGTTCGGGCAGCCAAGGCAGGATGCCTTATTTTTGACATTTCGAGCAATACCCGATCGGGTATGGCTATATACCCGACCGGGTATGTGTATATTTTGAGCTTCGAAGTGTGTACTCGATCGAGCGTAGAAGACAGGGAGCTTTTATTTGTGGATTTTGAGTGATACCCGACCGTGTATAGTATATACCCGACCGGGTATTGACATTTTTGCCCGAATTCGAGGCTGGTACTCGACCGAGCAAGGAAAACAGGGGGGTTTCCCCTTAAGAATTCGAGAGATACCCGACCGGGTAGCAGACCCTACCCGACCGGGTATAGGGTAATTCTAGGCTGAAATTTTTCCGTCCGGTCCTTTTCTGTCGGGACGACGACTAGGGTGTCTTACATGACTTATATATGTAGGAACACTAAAGATCAACGATAGGGATGCGAGAATTCTCATCGATACCGGGGCACAACGTTCGTTTGTGAGCGAAGCGTTTGCCAAGGGATTGAACATGCCTTTGGTAGCAATGATGCAACCTTTGCTGGTCTCTACGCCATTGGGAGATGATGTAGAGCGGAAACACTACTATCCCTCGTGTAACGTAGGGATAGGGGGGCACTGTCTAACGGGTGACCTTGTGCCGTTAGATATGCTCGAGTTTGATGCTATACTTGGCATGGATTGGCTCGAAAAACACCATGCGAAGGTAGATTGCTACACCAAGGTGTTAGAACTAAAGGATGGAGAAGGAAACACTCTATGCTTCGAGGGAGATAGAGGGAAATTCAACCCTTGTATCATATCGGCCATAAGAGCAAGGCGTATGATGAGGAAAGGGTGTCAAGCATACTTGGCCTATGTCATAGGCAAGGAGGGCAAGGAAAAGAGTCTCACTGAGGTGAGAGTGGTGAGTGAGTACCCAGAAGTTTTCCCTGAAGAACTCCCGGGACTCCCACCAGATCGAGAAATTGAGTTCACCATAGAAGTAGAACCCGGTACAAAACCCATCTCGATTCCTCCATATCGGATGGCACCGGCTGAACTTCAAGAGTTGAAGGTGCAATTGGAAGAATTGCTGGACAGCGGATTCATCAGGCCGAGTCATTCACCATGGGGAGCACCGGTACTATTTGTAAAGAAGAAGGATGGTACACTCAGAATGTGTATCGACTACCGTCAGTTGAACAAGGTCACGATAAAGAACAAATATCCTTTGCCAAGGATCGATGACTTGTTTGATCAACTACGGGGGGCAACGGTGTTCTCTAAGATTGACTTGAGGTCAGGCTACCATCAACTAAAGATCAAGGAGGGTGACATACCCAAAAGCGCATTCCGTACGAGGTATGGTCACTATGAGTTTCTAGTAATGTCGTTTGGGCTTACGAACGCCCCCGCGGCATTCATGGACCTCATGAACCGAGTATTTCACCAATACTTAGACCAGTTCGTCATAGTGTTCATTGATGACATTTTGATATACTCCATGAATGAAGAGGAACACGAAAAACATCTAAGGCTTGTGCTTGAAACACTGCGGGAGAAGCAACTCTTTGCCAAATTCTCTAAATGCGAATTTTGGCTTGGGGAGATCGGTTTTCTCGGGCATGTGGTATCGGGCTCGGGCATTTCAGTTGATAACTCCAAGATTGAAGCGGTCACTAATTGGGAGAGGCCCAAGAACGTGAAGGAGATAAGGAGTTTCCTCGGTTTAGCGGGGTATTACCGCAAATTCGTGGAAAAGTTCTCGGTGATAGCATCCCCACTCACGAAGCTCACTAAAAAGGGGGCTAAGTTTGTGTGGGATGACAAGTGTGAGAAGGGGTTTCTTGAGCTAAAGAAACGTTTGACCGAAGCACCAGTGCTTGCCTTGCCCGTGCAAGGGTTAGGGTATGACATCTACAGCGATGCTAGCATTCAGGGACTGGGATGTGTACTGATGCAATCAGGGAAGGTAATTGCTTATGCTTCTCGGCAGTTGAGGAAGCATGAAGTAAACTACCCCACACATGATCTGGAGCTAGGTGCTGTGGTATTTGCATTGAAGATTTGGAGGCACTACCTCTACGGGGAGTTGTGTCACATTTACACTGACCACAAGAGTCTGAAGTATGTGTTCACTCAGAAAGAGTTGAACATGAGACAGAGGAGATGGATGGAGTTGATTAAGGATTACAACTTGATAATTGACTATCATCCAGGCAAGGCTAATGTTGTAGCTGATGCACTGAGCAGGAAGAGCTCATCATCAGGGGTTTTACTCACATGCTTACGGGCACTGAGGGCACGCGTGGAGGTATCCACGGGTGGGGCGCTATTGGCCAGATTTGAGGTGAGACCCACCTTATTAGATGAAATCAGAACATGTCAAGGCAATGACGAGGAATTTCAGAAAATCCGGGAACGGATGCTTGTGGGGCCCGTTGAGGGTTTCCGTGAGAGGGAAGACGGACTTCTACTATTCAAGGAACGAGTGTGTACCATCGGATGAGGAGCTCCGAAAATCTATCCTTGAGGAGGCTCACTCATCTGCGTATGCCATGCACCCGGGCGGTACAAAGATGTACCGGGACTTGAAGGAAAGCTACTGGTGGTCGGGGATGAAGAGAGAAATTGCAGAATACGTGAGCCGTTGCCTTACTTGTCAACAGGTTAAGGCAGAGCACCAACACCCGGCAGGGTTACTACAACCACTTACCATTCCAGAATGGAAGTGGGAGCATGTTACCATGGACTTCGTGGTGGGTCTACCACGGACGGTTAGGAACTACGACGCGGTATGGGTGGTAGTCGATAGGCTGACCAAGAGCGCTCATTTCCTACCTATCAACACTACCTATACGCTCGAGCGATTGGCCAAATTGTACACAGATGAGATTGTGAGACTGCATGGGGTTCCGGTTACTATAATATCGGATAGGGACCCACGGTTCACATCACGGTTTTGGCCTAAGTTCCAGGAATCCATGGGTACGAAATTGAGGTTTAGCACCGCGTTTCATCCTCAAACGGATGGGCAATCGGAACGGGTGATTCAGATCTTGGAGGACATGTTAAGGGCATGTGCCTTGGAGTTCCAGGGGAGCTGGGACAATCAGTAGGCTTTAGTAGAATTCGCCTATAACAACAGTTATCAGGCAAGTATAGGCATGCCCCCATACGAAGCATTGTATGGGAGGAAATGCAGGACACCATTGTGTTGGGACGAGGTCGGCGAGGCTAAGCTTGAGGGCACCGAGTTAGTCGAGATCACTAAGGAGAAGATAAAGGTCATACAGGATAGGCTCAAGGCTGCCCAAGACCGACAGAAGAGCTATGCTGATAAACGTCGAAGGACGTTGGAGTTTGAGGTTGGTGACGAGGTATTTCTGAGGGTATCCCCTTGGAAAGGGATCATCAGGTTCCTCAGTCGGGGTAAGCTTAACCCACGTTACATAGTCCCGTTCAAAATCCTTGAAAGGATTGGGGTTGTAGCTTACCGACTTCAGTTGACTCCAGAGTTAGAAAAGATTCATAATGTATTTCATGTTTCTATGCTCAAGAAGTATGTGCGGGACCCGTCACATATTCTTGAGAAACCACTGGTAGAAATCCGAGAGGACCTACATTATACGGTACAGCCGGTAAAGATCATAGACCGACAGGTAAAGAGGCTAAGGAGCAAAGAGGTGCCGATGGTCAAGGTACTTTGGAAGAGTGATCGTGTCGAGGAGCAAACGTGGGAAGTGGAGACCCTAATGAGGGAACAATATCCATTTCTGTTTGATTAGACACATGGATTTCGGGGACGAAATCCCAAATAAGGGGGGTAGAACTTGTAACACCGCCCCCGAGTATTTGTACTGTACCAAATTATGTATTGAACCTTGAGAAATGTATAAAAGCATTTTTTACGTGATTGTAAATTTTTATCATTTCTATTACGTGAATAGTAAAATTCACGTGGGGCCCACACCGGATGTGGGGCCGCCCAATATTATCGGGACCACATATTATATTAATCTTGGACTAGATAATATGTATATGGTGGTGGATATCCTAATTGGGCCATGACAATGGCACAAGGGTGACCGGTTGGTCAAACGGGCTAAATTATCGGTATCGGCAATTTATCAGATAACAGCCCAAAAAGGGATTCTGAGAACCTATAAATTAAAGTTGGGGATTTCATAATGATTCTAAGGCCCAATAAGGATTGGGAACGAGTGTTATATTTTATTTGACCCGATAAAATAAAATATACTTAAAACAGTCCGAGAAATACAACTTTCGGGGCCGAGTGTACACTTGGGGACATAAAGGGATGACCTCCCACATGAGTGGGGGCCACCCCACGGATTTGGTGCTGCCAATGACAAGGGGAGCCGCACATAACCTGCAGGAGTAAGGAGAAATTGATTGAGAGACCAATCAATGGGAAGGTGGACCTCACCTTTGACATTATTTTGGAGAAATGCCAAAGAGGCATTCTCAATCATCAACCTAACCCTCCAGCTCTTCCAACCCATCCATCCTTGAGATAGAAGCTCTGCAAACACCTCACAACATCCACCATTCACGAACTGGAGCTAAGGAGGAAGAAGGAGGGGAAAAGAGAAGAGAAAAGTTGGTTTTCGGAGAGGGAAACTTGTGTTTAGCAAGGTAAGGACTCCATTAATCCAATTTCTGGTTCTTCAATACTCTTTTATGATTATTCAATCATATTTCACACCCTAGTAATGTTCTACACGTTGGGATGTGTAGAAAGAGGGGTTGGAAGGTAGTTCTAAGTCCAAGAACGGACTTAGAAGCCAAAGTGACCGGTTCGCCGGAAAATAACCTTTTGAGGTTATATGTATTGCTATGGGTTTTATGATGATAAAACCTTGTTAGTAACTTGTATAAGGTATTCAAGGAACTTTCACGGAGTTGAAAAGGTCGCCGGAGTTGTCGCCGGAGTTCGTTGAAGTTCGCCGGAGTTTCGTCGGAGCTAAATCGGGAAGGCTAGAACTTCATAAGCTTCATTAAGGTGAGAAGACGGCTTTATGCTTTATAACTTTTGCGTGAGGCATGAGATTACCTAAATTAATCAGGAATATGTTTTGTGGAATGATTAAAGATAATCAAGTGTGTGTTTATGCCATGATTATACACAAAACATAGTTAAAAAGCATGTTATGTAGGTTTGGTGATTAAAAATGTGATAACATATTTTGTGTGATGATACAGGGATCCAAAATGGTATTTTTGGATCAAGGACATCAAGAAGTATATGTGTATAAAATTTCAAGTTAATCGGACTCCGTTTGGGGGGTCAAAAGGGGCGTTGACCGTCAAGTCAACTGCCATACCCGATCGGGTATTGACACATACCCGACCGGGTATTTGTTGAAAATCAGCTTTGTGGACTACTGTCTCCTGTACTCGACCGAGTATGGGTTAATACTCGATCGAGTATTGGGTTATGCTCAAAACGGGCAGTTTTGAGTAGGTTAACGTGGGCCGTTCGGGTGGGACCCGCCCACGTTGGATCCTAAGGATTGTTATATGACTATAGGGCTAGGCATTGTCCATAGTTAAAGGAATGAAAGGTTAGCCATATCCAGGTTAGGATTTGGTAGAGAATAGACTGGGGATTGAGTGCCCTTGGACGGTAAATGATCCAGAATACTCCAGGTGGGGTCGAGTACCCTTGGACGGTAAATGATCCAGAATACTCCAGGTGGGGTCGAGTACCCTTGGACGGTAAATGATCCAGAATACTCCAGGTGGGGTCGAGTACCCTTGGACGGTAAATGATCCAGAATACTCCAGGTGGGGCCGAGTACCCTTGGACGGTAAATGATCTTAAATACTCCAGGATGGGTTGAGTGCCTTGGACGGTAAATGATCCTAAAACACTCGGTAGTATGAATCGAAGGTAGACTATAGCTTGTGAGCTAGGTAACCGGGAAAGGAGTGAGAAAAGTCAGGTAAGAACTTTATCTCTAAAAGACTCTTTAAGGTAAATGACCTACGGGTTGAGTATTTTAGGAGTATATATATACAGTATGTATCATCGGGTGGATGAGGGACATCTATATGTATATATCACCCTATTTTTGGGTCTCGTGTCTGAAACATTAGTTATTCTTCATATAGCCTGCTTGTCACTAGTACTTCTATGGAGTACTGACCCCTCCGGGGGCCCTCACATTTTTCAGGTTGAGGCTAGAGTCCTACTACCTGCACCTTTGCCTAGGGTGATCATTCGAGGAGGAAGACGTGGTTCGTGCTTCCATTCATATTTCAAATGTATAAACCGCTCATGGATTTTTGAACAATGTTTTCATTAAAACAGTTGGGGGCCTGCGTGCCCGTGTTTGCCACGTGTGGCTAAGTATCAAACATTTTATTATTTCCGCATTTGTTTGATTATGATATTGATGTTGATTGTATGTGTTTACTAATCGGTTTGGCAATAGAATCAATCGGACGCCTTGTACAACTCAATAGGGATGAACTGTTGTTGTTCTTATCGGGTTGTACGGCGGTTGTCTACGTGGCTCGGACGTGGTCCGGGGCGTGACACACACAATCATGGGGAGTTTTGGGAAGTGAACGTAGGAGACCTCCACCGATAATATCAGGCATTGAAATTTTGAGGAGTATGGAGGGCATTATATTTCCACCATTTGGCTCTCAATATGACAACTTGTGTGCTGATGGATTTGGTAGAACTCACAATTGGATCAAAAGATCTATTTTTTGGGAACTACCATATTGGAAACATTTGCTTGTGCGACATAACCTTGATGTAATGCATATTGAGAAAAACTGTTTTGATAATGTGTTTAACACAGTTATGGATGTCAAGGGGAAAACTAAAGACAATTCCAATTCGAGGCGTGATATGGAGCACATGAACATACGAAAAGAGTTGCATTTCTACGATTGTAACATGGCCACATATCAGCCAAAAGCAAGTTATGTGTTAGATAAACCAAGCATCATCAATATCTGCCATTGGTTGAAGCATGAAGTTAAACTACCTGATGGTTATTCATCTAACATTGGACATTGTGTGAACACAACTACCAATACATTCTATAGTATGAAAAGCGATGATTGTCATGTGTTCATGCAACGTCTACTTCCGATTACACTGCGTGGTTATCTAAGGTCACCAATTTGGGTCACAATTTCCGAGTTCTGCAAATTTTTTAGACTTATTTGTGCAAAGGAACTTTGTATTGCAGACATCGAAAAAATGCAGGATGCTATTGCTGTCACGCTGTGTAAACTTGAGAAAATATTCCCTCATAGTTTTTTTGATTCCATGGAGCATTTGACTATCCACCTGCCATGGGAGTTAAAAATTTGTGGCCCTGTGCAATTTCGTTGGATGTACCCTTTTGAACGATTGATGAAAAAGCTGAAAGAAAAGGCAAAAAACAAACAGTTCTTAGAGGGGTCAATTGTTGAAAAAATTTGGGTTCAGGAAGTTGCTTTATTTTGTGAGCATTACTTTGATGATAATCTAGGTACCCGGATCAATCCTCATGTTAGAAATGAAGTTCGGCCTAATATGTTGACTGTGGGGGGAAACTTCTAATGATACAGACAACTTGTCTATCTTCAAGCATCCTGTTAGAAACTTCAGTCGAGTGAAGAATCTTGCATTAACAGATGAAGAACCGCACCATGTCCATAGCTATCTTTTGTTCAATACCCATGAAGTGCAACCGTACATCGAGTAAGTGTGTAATTGAAATTTAAGTTTATAAAGTGAAATATACTAAATTAACAATGTTACTTTGCAGACAATATGAATGTCTGCTTCGACAATCTTCCCCGATGTTGAATGACTCTGGTGTTGCCGAACAGAGAATGACACACTTTGCTACATGGTTTGAGTTAATGGTATGATATAAATATGAAACTTGCGTAAGTTCAAATGTATAGTTGTAATTTATCTTTTCAAAACTAATTTCTTTCAGGCTCAATAATTTCCTCAAAGTTTCACCAGACAACTTACAGAGTTATCACAATGGCCAAAAAAGAAATGCAAAGCATATGGTGGCTCCTATGTAAATGGCTTCAAATTCCATACTAAAATGTATGGAGAGGTAAAACGCACATCTAACTGGGGCATTTGTGTGCTTGGAGAAACTTCAGGGGACGGTCGCTATGATATTTACGGAATACTTGATGATATTATTGAGCTCCGTTACAAAAATAACGAAGTAACAATATTCAAAGGAACATGGTTTGATCCAACCAATGGCGTACGACTTCATAAACCATCTGGAGTAGTTGACATTCGTCACACATCACGCTTACATCCAGAAGATCCATTTATTCTTGCTAGTCAAGCACAACAAGTATACTACGTTAAATATCTAACAGAGGGGTTAAGCGATTGGCATGCAGTTATTAAAACAAAACCGAGACACATCATCCAAGGTGATATTGGTACATATGATGAACCTGAAGACATAATTGATGTTGACGCTGATCAAGAAGATTTTATTGTCGAAGATGCTTGTGTCTTTGATGATCCTGATCTTGAGGGTCGGGATCTTCTTCTACATGTGGGGATTGCTCCAGAAATTGTTGTTGATGGTGACGACGATGAGAACTTGGAAGATTCCGAGGACGACATTCCAAATTATATATGACTCTGTTTTCAGTATTTATGTTATTTGAATAGCTTTTAAAGAATAATTATTGTTAAGACTTATTAATCTATAATTTGTGAAGTTTCTGATTATGGCATCCAATACAAGAAGTTAGTTACTTGGAGTACAATATATGTACAAATACCTAAAATGTTGGGGTTACTTTTCATGTATCAGCTGAATCAGCTAATACAGCAACTTCAGCCAGAAGTTCATAAATTTCAGCAGAATCAGCCAATTCAGCCAATTTTAGTTTTACCAAACAGGCTTGTTGAGGGTAAATCCCGTAGATCCGAAAGCCCAACACGAACTTTGGATATATCAGGAATGGTACAGAATCAAAGTGTATAAACAAAATATAAGATCTGAACTCACTAATACTCGAAAGCTCACTTGTATTAACTAACCAGTCTGATTACAAGGAATTTCCCGATCGGTAGGTCGGAAACAATGCTTTAATACAAGAAATAAGAGCAATGATGTTATTCTAGAGCCTGAGTATTGAAATGCTAACCCTTACAATGATTTTAAACCTTCTATTTATACTAATGGAGAGCATGGGCTGCCCTATGCTGATTGGCTGTTGTTCCACCGACTTGGTCACCCATGTTTCCACTTGCTGATGTCACAATCTGGCATTGATTGCACCTGGCCACTCGCCGGTTGTCCGTTGCGCGAACGGGATGTTTGGACTATGCTGAAGACGCTGTCAAATTGGCCCAAGTATGATATATAGCCCGAACTCCGTTCGGTGTATCTTCTTACTGGGCCAACCCTTATTTGGGCCGAATCTCGTTCGGCATGAATTCTTCACTGGATCTACTCCTCATAGAGTGATGGGCTCGTTGTTTGGGCCGGGTATCTTGGGCCTTCTTGATCCGGGTATTGGGCCTCTGGATCAATATCCCAACACAAGTCCCCCACTTCCGATGTCTCGAACGATAGTGAGTGCATTAGGAAGTATGAATACCAATGTTGCAATACCCCGAATGGCGATCGGGGTACAGAAGTAATCAGTTCCCCATGCTGTGACTTGACGGCTGCCGCTTCATTTCCCCATTTTCATCATGGTAACCGTCGTTTAGTCTTTTCATTAGACACGCGTTTAGCTTAAATGCTCCTAGGGACGTGTCGCTTCCTGATTGGTTCTTGACACGGCGGTTTCAAGGCTATAATTTAGCCTTTAACTTCTCAAATCCGGGTTTCGATTCTGCAATTCTCTGCGCCTTGTTGATTTCTGAGATTTCTCGCAGCCTTCGTCGTTCAGGTATTCTCCCTTCCTTGCTTCCTCGCCTCATCCCTGATTCGGTCGAAATGAATTCCCAACAACGTTCTGATTCAGAGATGGCTTCTCAAGGGGAGGACCGTGATGTGGAGATTATCACCGTCCCTTTTGATGAAGGTTCCAAGGCAACGACGGCGGAAGTTAGGGCGGAGACAGGCAACTCTTCTAGCAGTTCTTCTTCCTCCAGTGAAGATTCCGACGATACCAAATCCGAGGACGAATTAGCCTCCATGGCGGCCGGACGTCCCAACGATTTCCCTCTCCATACCCTTGACCTAAAACTGATTAGGGAGAGGCGGCAAAAACTGACCTCCCATAATAGGGCCGAAATTCCGGCCCTTATCCCTGACCCAGTGAATTTCCGTTTGCAAGCTGGGCTTCACCCAATGCGTCATAGGCCCGGAATGACTATAGTTCATTTTGACTCAATTAGGGCCGGCCTTAGGTTTCCGCTACACCCCTTTTTCATTTCATTTTTTAATTTCTATGAAGTTGTACCGGCCCATATTATGCCGAACTCCTATAGGGCAATGGCGGGTTTTATTTTCCGTTGTAAAGATGCCGGTGCCCGACCAACCCTAGAACTCTTCCATCAATTTTTCAAGGTAGCCCCTCAACAAACCCACGGCTATCTGGCCACTAGTGCCCGAATGGGACACATTCTGTTCAAGGGAAACCCAACTTCAATCAAAGGGTGGAAAGACCGGTTTTTCTCCGTGTCTGTCCCGGACGGCCTAATTCCCCGCAAATGGAATGCCTTCCCCCGCAAGACCCCTGATCCAGTCCTCACTGAAGAAATTTACAAGGACGTGCTTGCTGTGGAGAAAGATAAATGCATGGACATCATGAGTTACCTGACTCCCGATCGGATCGTTGAAGCCGGGATAGGTACTGCCCGTTCTCCTGGGTTTACTTGTTTTGAGAAATCAAGTGCCATGGTCCGGGCGGTCCTTCCCGTGCGAGAAACGTTCTTTTTTCTTTTTTCTAGTTTCTCACACGCTAAGGCCGCTCGATACTAACATCTTCCTTTGTCTTTTTTCAGCACCAAACCCAGATCTACCCATGGACAATAGCAGAGTTATGGCAGCTGGTGGGGTCGGTAAACGAAAAAAGGCCAGGAAGAACCCCCAACCTACTCCCTCTACTGTTCCTGCCCAGGATGCTGGGTCTTCTCAACCGCTTCCAGAGGTGCAGCCGATACAGCAGGTCCATCAGGACCAATTCGATGCCATGCTAGTCGATGATCGGTTTGGCTCTGATCAACTGCAGCAATTTCCCGAGCACTTTCAAGCTGCTCCAGAAACCGGCCAGGGTACGGGTGAAATACCCACCGTCCAGTTATCTGGCCAGGTTGACCGGATTTCCCTGGCGGATCCGGTTCACGATGTTGTGGAAAGAGGTGGCTGTTCGGCAAGCCAAATCTGGTCTACCTCCGCCTTCTTCAACAATTTCACCGTCC